GGGGCCAAGATGTCACCAAAATTATGAAAGACGAACTTGAACACCTTCACTCGGACGCTGCTTATGACATGCTAGAAACCTACTTTATTGGGGACCTTGCAACTGACGGCTCCGCTCAAAAACCCATAGTTCCCCTCGAGTCCGATAAGAATACGTCGACGCTCGGAAAGAAGGAGGCATTCATCGATGTGAGACAGCCGATGCTGGCTCAAGTTTGGACCAAGAACTTTAAAAAGGACGTTTACATGAAACAAGTCCATATTCCCCGGCACGTTAACTACTCTGCACCGATCTTTGGACACCCTGCTCTTGAGATGTTTACAAAGACGCCTTGGTGGGTCGTCCCCTTGGTGTGGACACCGCTTTGGGCGACATGCGTATACTATGCCATCGGAGCAGTTTCTCTTGCCGGGACACTCATGTTGGCCCCTATTGGCTTGCTGATTTGGACAATCATCGAATACACACTCCATCGGTTCCTTTTCCATGTCGATGACATCTTACCTGACAATAGATATGCGTTGACTGCTCACTTTTTGCTTCATGGAATTCATCACTATCTACCGATGGACAGGTATGCACTTGTTTTTCTCTCTGTTTTACCAAGCCCTCGGATAACTGAACCCTTCTTGTTCAGAATGCGGCTCGTCATGCCTCCAGCTCTATCACTTTTCCTCGCGGTATGGATATGGACGTTCTTCAACTCCTTCCTCCCCACGCCTATAGTATTGGGATTGGCAACAGGAACTATTCCAGGCTATGTTGGATACGACTTGATACATTGTAAGTTCTCGAAAGAAGTCTCATATTTGTGAGTGAACCTGTCTTATAAAGCCTCCCCTTAAGATTATCTCCATCATGGTCGTCCTTTTGCTGCGCACCTTCGCGAAATGAAAACATACCATCTGGACCACCATTATAAGGACGCAAATCTCGGATATGGAATTACTAGTAAATTATGGGATCGGGTCTTCGGAACCGTTCTGTATTAAACACCCGCACGCCGCTTCTTTTATCGTAGATATATTTTTTTTGTACGCACAATCCACGGGCTTCTTATAGGGAAGTCCTTCTGATTGTTAATCTGAACACATTTAGAAATAATAGACTTTTGGTTTATACCACACGATATAGCGTGGCATACAAACGCTGGGTGATCCCAACGGAAATTTTCCGATTAGAGCTCACATGCCCTTACTTGGGCGAGGGTCTCTTGATGCATTCGGTTTTTACTAGTTATGTAGACACCGGATGCACCGGACCGGGATGAGAAACATAGAAAAATCGATGGATTCATCACTTCATGCATGCCACAGCTCAGTCGAAGACTCAAGTAGAAGTGATCTGAACAATAATGATAACAAGCAGCCAGAGAGCTTCCCAGACATGGCCGCAATTCACCAGTCCACTGTTCTTGAACAGCAAAGAGTCTCACCCGATGAAATAACGGTCGGAATGCAGCTCTCAAAATCCTCCACTCCCCGTAGTTCAATAACTACTCAAAATCTGATCACAACGCACCCTTCGGCATCAATCTCCACCATTGACACACCACCCCCTCGCCCTCCCACAGCGCGTGGCACACGTACCCGACCAGCGACGGCACTCCGCTTTTCACTCAGACCATACGCTAGCGAAGCATTTAATGGATTCCAAGCAAAGGACGTCCCTCCTCTCAAAAACGGCAGCCGGCCCGGTACAGGAGCGGCACTACGTGGTGGGCGAAAGTCCAAGATACACGAGAATCCCAGCACAACTTCCAGAAACTCCCTATCATCGAAAGCACCAAAGTTCCAGGTCCCTCATCCAACTCCGACACCCATCGCCATACCCCTACCGCCGCTCCGTATCCGTAAAGGCAACCTAGGATTATCCAATAGAAACACATCTGCCATTGGAAGATATGAGGACCGATTAAAGGCTCTGGGACTGACGAGAGCAGGGACTGAAGCACTTGGATGGGGGAATAGGGTGCTGGCTCTCCCAGGGGAGGGAGGGAGAGGCACGGAGAGAATTGGCGGTAGGTGACCTTGATTTGGCAAGACTGCCCAATTGCCATGACTGATCAGTCTCGGTTCTGTGATGGTACTCAGGCCTGGGTGAGGCTGTCTCTAGCACAACATTAGTAGCACCGCCAGCCCAGACTCCGCGACCCCATCCAACGGCTCACTCATCTTTTCCACACTCTATGGCTGAAGTACTCCATCTCTTGCCCCGGCACCCCAGGTATTTCGAACTCATGTGCTCGCTATCCAATATCTAACTATTGAAACATCAATCAGAGAAACCCCGCCGGCGTTTCTCTCATTGCCAACATCGACGCCTTTAAACGAGCCTGCCACCCGGCACGGCTCCAACACTTCGTATAAGCAAGACACGAGCGTCTGTGTGCGGCCCGTTGCTGGCACTCATTTTTGGGCGTCCGACAGTGTATGTTCACAGATTTTTGGTTGGGTTCTGGTATCATACGGGTTGTTAATATGAACGATTGGTCACTTGCAGGAACGATTTGACCGGACGCCGTTTTGGAAACTGGAAAAACAGAGGAGGTTGCATGCCCATGAGACTGTTAAAAGGGGCCACAGTGTTGTGATTTGAGCTTGGATTGAGTAGAAAAACTTTTGCTTGTGCTCTTTTACAAGATAGAGCTGCTTGTTTTGATAGTATTTTGTGCAAGGACAGTCGAAACCTTTTACATAGTTCGACCGATGCCGAATTATCAATTCTCAGAGTCATTTGCATTCATAATGCTTGCACTTTAGGCGGTCCTCGCAACTCTAATTGCATAAACGACGCTCCCATTCATGATGACTCGGCACAGCAGATACAGGTGCAAAGCTGCAAGCCCCCAGTTACGTTATGAGCATGGTACAAGGGAAGTAGAGACAAGTCAAAGACCTAGGGTTAGCCGGGTCAGTTTATTTTCAAAGCTCATCGTCTACAGACTAAAACAATGAAAACTCATGTCAACCTTGTTGTTGTCGGGCATCTTGGATCCGGAAAATCGACTGTGCTAGGGCACTTGATGTACAAATGGTTTGTTCCTCTCGTTGTGGAAGAGCGATAGTTTTATATCGTAGGGGTCTCATTGCTACAATGACAGTGGAGCTATTGACAAAAAAGACTTTGATAAAATTGAATGGGAGGCCATGAAGAAAGACAAACCGGAATTGAAGTATGCCTGGATTTTGGACAAACTCCGTGAAGAGCGTGAAAGAGGAACAACCATCGATATTGCTTGCGATAAGCTGGAGACGCCTCATCGCTTTGTGACCGTCAGTGATGCACCCGGCCACAAGGACTTTATCAAAAACTTGATCACTGGGACTTCACAGGTTGCCCAAGTCTTGAGTGTTGACTGCGTCAATCGTTTTCGATGCTAACCGCCAAATATCGATGGTCCTAGGCTGATTGCGCCCTCCTGGTAGTTTCCGCAGCAGTAAACGAATATGAAACTGGTATTGCCCGCGAAGGGCAAACTAGGGAACATGCGCTTCTTGCGCACACCATGGGAGTTAGACAACTCATTGTTGCCGTGAATAAGATGGATCAGGTCAACTGGTCACAAGAGAGATTCGAAAAAGTTCAAAAGGAATTAAGCGATATGATGGAGAAAATTGGGTACAAGCCGGAATCTGTTCCGTTTGTTCCTGTCTCTGGGTGGACCGGGGATAATCTAGTTGACCCCTCACCTAACTTGCCTTGGTTTTCCCGATGGAAAAAGCAAACCAAAAGCGGTGCTGTTGAAGGCAAAACTCTTTTGGACGCCATCGACACGATCGAGCCCCCCATACGTCCAAAAGATAAACCCCTCCGTTTACCTATCCAAGATGTCTTCAAACTGAGCGACATTGGCACAGTGGCTGTTGGAAAGGTGGAGACTGGTGTCCTTCACCCGGGCAAGAAGGTGTTGCTTACCCCCGGCGGCATCACTACGATCGTCAAGTCGATTCAAATGCACCACGAACCCCTAAACGAGGCTCTTCCGGGCGACAATGTGGGGTTAAGCGTGGATCTTTCTATCAGAGACATCCATCGCGGCATGGTTGTTTCTAATCCGAAAGATGAGCCGGCCAAAGAAGCTGCATCTTTCATAGCTCAAATAATCATTCTCGAGCTTCCTGGGCGGATCGAAGTAGGATACACTCCCGTGATCGACGTTCACACATCGCACGTTGCATGCAAGTTTGATGAATTGATTGAAAAGGTTGATAGACGATCGGGGAGAACGATTGCTGAGCATCCAAAATTTCTCCAAATGGGTGATGCGGCCATTGTCAAATTGAAGCCCACCAAGCCGTTGGTTGTGGAGGCATATGCGGACTATCCGGCACTGGGGAGATTTGCCATGCGGGATATGAGGGTGACTATAGCTGTTGGAATCGTGAAAAGTGTGGAAAAGGTGAGCGGAGCAGACATTCAGAGCATATGACGGAGAGCGGGCAAGCCAAATGAATGAACAAGAGCTGAGCGTAGCAATCGTCTATCTGTGAGGTGTACGTCGATAGGAAAATCTAGCATGTGCGTGTATGCGAGGCACGTTGGTGTAAAATGTCCTTCGATAGGATAATTCTAGCATATGCGTGTAGGCCAGGCACATTGGCTACCATTCTCACTTTCCAGCAGGTCACAGATCGGTTCGCATATAATTTATTTCTCAAAACTGACGAATTACCCCCTCCATAACATTTCAATGTTCGACCTTTCCGCTATTCTTATCGCTACTGAAGCGATTCCACTTTTTGTACTGGCCAGTGGGATCATAAATCTTTGTTGTTTCGTGTTGGCTTACCGTGTTCCAAGGCTGCGGGTTTTTGCTTGTGAAAATGGTGAGCATGTACTAAAAGCGTAACATGTGAAGCTTTCGACTTACGAGCGAGACCAGACCACTGTTTGATGACGTTAATATTACTCTGTTTTTAGCGAATTGTGGACGGTGGTCTTACCATCAGGACTGACAGACTTGTGAGCCAAAAAGTATCCAACACCAACGACGGCTCCGCCCATGACGGCTACGAGAGGATACACCTATGTCCCGCACATTGTAAGTGACCGGTCGGTCCGGGCCAGAAAAGAGTACGTACCCCAAAAGGAATTTTCAGTAATCCACCAGCCATGTCGTCAAAATGCTGCCTCTGCTAACATTTTCGGTTATCTGCTGTATGAGCATCAAAAACTTGCACAGAGGTTCTTACCAAATGCTTGTTTGGAATCCAAAGACAGAAACAAGTGGTAAAGGACTGTTAAAGGAAGGCAACGTGCATATATCTATTTATATTCTTATATGACCCTTCTTCCTCTATTCTTCCGATGATGACATCACTAGAGGTGGCATTCCCCCCTGCACCGTTCTTATTGTCCTTCAACAGACGACTTGCGTCGGGACTGATGACCAGAACGCGTACGTAAGCAAAGTAGCTTGGCAATCGATGACTCACTTTCCAGAGGTTCACTCTGACGGGTTGCAGAACTTGGTTATCCTGTAAATGTCTACCGCCGCAAGCTCACGATCGTTCAAGTTGGCACTTGTTCAATTGCTGGTTACGTCCAGCAAAGAGGCAAACCTTCGAAACGCTCGCTCCAAAGTTCTTGAAGCTGCAAAAAATGGTGCAAACGTCGTTGTTTTGCCAGGTACGGCCGAACCGTTATTTCGGGAATTACTTTGCTCTTAACAAGAAGGCATTTTCAATAGAGTGTTTTAACTCTCCATACGGTACCCAATACTTTCCTCAATATGCCGAGCCCCTTGAGAACAGTCCATCGTCCCGCGCCTTGCAGGAAATGGCTAGAGACGCAAAGGTCTACCTAATCGGTGGGTCATTTCCTGAGGAGAAGGAGAAAAAGTATTATAACACTTGTACAATATGGGATCCGAAGGGTGAACGACTGGGTGTCCATAGAAAGGTGCGATAGAGTCTTGTGTTTTGCATCTGAATAGATCTCCTCAAACTCACTATTTTGCGTAGATCCATCTCTTCGATATTGACGTTCCGAACAAGATCACATTCAAGGAATCTGAAATACTTTCCCCCGGATCATCCCCGACATCATTTTTGACACCATGGGGAAGAATTGGAGTAGGCATCTGTTACGATATTCGGTTTCCTGAACTGGCCATGATTGCTGCGAGAAAGGGTTGCGTGGCTATGATATATCCTGGAGCTTTTAATATGACGACTGGACCATTGCATGTAAGAGACGTTTTGTGTGTCGCGTCATTATCTGTGATAGTGAGTGGGAGCTGATTCTCAAATCAACCATCACAGTGGGAACTTCTTCAACGCGCTCGTGCCGTTGACAATCAAATCTATGTCAGCGCATGTTCTCCTGCCCGTGATCCCAACTCTTCCTATATTGCTTGGGGCCACTCTACAGTCGTTGATCCACTGGGTGTCGTCGTCGCTACAACGGATGAAAAAGAAAGCATTACTTATGCCGATATTGATTTGGAAAAGATTGATGAAGCTCGACAGAATATTCCCGTGACCTCGCAGAGGAGGTTCGATGTATATCCGGATGTGAGTGCAGGAAATTGATAGTTCGTATAGGTTCACTGTTAGGATCAATGTAGTTATTATGTAGAGTGTGCTTATGTAGAATGGTAATGGAAGCTTTGCAGCTCATTCTGTAAAATTGTGTACTATTCCTGACGTGAAGCAGAACAGAGTGACGAAAATACATTAACGGCATATATGCCTAAATAAACCAATGTAATAAAGAATAAAACCTAATCATCTCGTCGCTTGAAGAATCTAAACTGAATTATCATGCCAATAATCGCAAAGGCGATCATTGAACATAACAGGGCGATTACTTTGCCATTGCGCCTTTTCAAGGGTAAGGAAAAGTGAGTTAATCGTTACAATGGAAGTTGCGGGTCATGACTTACTCGAAAACCGTATAACTGAATTTATTCTCTCCCACCAGAAATTGTCTTGTGGAATCTGTGAATCCCGTTCGTGCATAGCAGTCAATCCCGAATACAATACTGTATGCACCTCCAATACTTGTCGCAACAACGAGAAGAATTTTTTGAAAAAAGGAGATGGCGAGGCCCCCTACTCCTGTCATGGCAGCGAGGAAAATGATACGGCCCTTCGCTGTACCGATCTGGTTTTTGCAGGAATTACTAAAGTCAGGACACCGGACTTGAATAGCAAGTAATTTAGGAGACATACCACACCACCTGTTTGCCATGACAAAATGAACATTGCAAACAAAAATCCTGCAGCCGCTCCGATAGCCACGAGACCCAATCTCCATACACAGAGCGCCAACCCCCCGCCGATGACACCAGATGCGAGCGGACCAAGGAGAAGAACAGTATTTCGATTTGGAAATCCCGTAGAGGGTTCGACGGCGGTAAGGATCAAATAGCCGACCAAAGCTTGCCAAAACAGTTAGACTCAACTGGATCACGAAGACTGATAGGGTGGAATTGCCTACCAGTGACGAAAAATCCACCAACGAAAAGCGTGACTTTAAAAAATCGTTGTCCGAAAAAGAGGAGAAATACACCAACAACAAGTGTTATGGCACCCAAGACGGCGGTCTGGGCGATAATCTCTCGTGCCTTGTTGAGTATGTCCAAGGCACCTGCGCTTACAAAATCAGTCAAGAGTTCTCCTGTATCTTCCACTTGCAGGTTCACAACCCACCACCATCACCGCCATCTCCTCCTCCATCACCAGTTGGTGTCGCTGTTGGCGATGGGGTTGCTGAGGTTGTACTGGTTTGTGCAGCTGCATGCGTGAGTTGCCATAGGAAAAAAATTACCCACACGCTCAATTTCGGTGGTATTAGGGTAGAGCCCATAGCTCATGTATTTTAGGATGATGTGATGATTCAACTAACGGAGCCAAATGCGGAAGAGCCATATTTTATAATGTTAGATGCTGCCAAGACTTTTAGCCAGTGTCGGGCCAACGCGAGAGCAAAACACGGATCTAAAATTGGGGGTTCAGTTCTTGGCTTGTTACCCAATCTAGTATTGGGGATCTTGAGAATATCGAATAGCTGCGGGCGAAACCTTCAAATCCTCATCGTTACATATAGTCCGCTATAAGACATCTCGGATACCATGCTCGTAATACTGGCAAATCAACATGTGGGATATCAACACATTAAATGAGAAAACTGTCGCCACACACAACCACGGAGGGAAAACGAAGATGACTGATACTGAGAGCAAAAAGTCGTCAAATAAAGTGTATGACTGACCAATAGTCGGATGTATTCCAATACAGTAATCCCGCCTCGCACCCGTATATTAAGCAACAGAATTTAAGTCCTTCCAAAGTAACGACCAGTCAACGTGCGTGATGCGCAGCCTACATGTGCGCTTCTGCTGAAGGGTATAAAACGATACCGGTTTCAGAAGCCGTCCAGAAACCCCGCTACGCTTGCCAGATCGGCCTTAACGTCAGCACAGCGGAGTTTAGGAACTTCCACGCGCGCTTACGAAAGACGCGTTAAAACGCTTCGCTTCAAGAGGTTTTCGAAGATTCAGGGTTAGGATGCGCGCGCATGGCCAAAAAACGAACGTGCGTAAGCAGTTAGAAAGGTAGCTTCAATAAGAAGAAGGAATACGGAAGTAATGCGTGAAGGTTCTGTCGAATAAGATGGTCTTCTTGAGTGCTGCGGGAATGATGCGCTCGATGTTTATATAAAGGGCATTTGCTGGGGATGGGTCCCCCGATTTCTCCACCGATTTGTGCAGCAAAAGTTTTCCCAACTGTCTCTTTCCATTGGACCCCACTTTATCAGAATATCACCTAGCAATAATGAGTGTCGTGGCGCGAACAACTTTTTGGGCTTTGCTGTTTGCCTTCTTTGCCGTTTGGATGAATGGGGTAAGTCCGTATCGCTGCGCAAGCTCTTGTCGTTTATAGCTCTAAGCACCACCGAAATCTTACCCACATAACATAGGTCACAGTAACAGCTATCCCTGCTGTCCGCGACATAGCCGCTGAAAACAACATCATCCCCTGCTCCGGTGCGCGAGCAATGACCATCCTGCCAACCGACAACAACGACACAACGACCCTTGGCCAACTCGTCATCGTTAATGACTCACCTCCCAACCGCGAATACACCTTCACTTTGACTCTTTCGCTTCCCGATGGTGCTGTGGAGGTTTCCCCTAGCGGATTAGTCACACTGGTGACGAGCCTAGGCAAAAATAAGGCGGTGGGCTTTAAAGCCGAGGCAAATGCGGTCATTCCGCCCGTTGATACGATCTCGCAGTTTTTCTTGATTCAGATGATTTGAGATGGTGCGTATGCACAAATACGGCATGTGTACATAGGGGGTATTATTGTGCGGTTAAAGTGTGAAAGTATGAATAATTATGTATTTAGAAAGAATATTGTCAATTTCAAAAAACACTCTTTATCACTTGATTGGTTGTGGGCGGCGCAGTAACAATATTAGCCTCTAGGTTGGGTATTTCATCGCCTCGTTCTCTATCTACGTGTGCATCTCGTCCGCCTGTGGTCACATTACAGCGACTCAACTCTCTCCATACAACCATCTTTTTGGACACATACTTTAAGCCAAATAATGAGTTACCAAAAGAAGCAGACGATGAAGCTGTCGATATCGCTCACTGAAGGTTTCATCATGAAAAAAGAGGAGATATTGAGGATGACCACCACCCAGCTATACCTAAATGCTTTGGTGGTGTAGGTCCGATATATATGCATTTGATAGATAAGAAGGTGGGCCTTCTTAATGGCACGACATTGTCAAATCGACAGCGTTCCATGGTGTGAGTATGCTACCTTGCGTTCATCAAGCTACACTGCAGGATCCAGTGGTATTGAATCAAAGGTCAGTAGGGTAGTCCGGAAACACAACCGACAATATGGCTGTGGAGCTTCTTACCTTGTAAAGAATGTTTGAACACGATATTACAAGCAGCTCGCTGCAGGCCCTTGATGCCCCAATGTCAAAACACTTTATCAGACAAAAACAGATAAACTCAAAAGGCATTTGAGTTAATGTGCTTCCCTGTGCAGCTGTACCATCTGGTGCGGAGGAAACTTCACCGCTATACATATCTCCTAAAACATGGCAGAACGTTAAACGATGTGCAAGCTAACCACGTGAATATCTCATTTAGCCCAATATGGTATAAATTAAAGTGTGCAATCCGTTGCAAACAGCCGCAGTGAAAAAAGTGGTTTTGAAATTCAGCTCTTGTTCCATTACCCACTTTGCTCTGTCCGCAAGACGATGCCCCATTGGCAAACAATGGGTCTACAGCACCTGCTCCTCATGTTGCTGGGTTTGACCTTGCTGTCATGCCCAGCAACATTCGGAAAAATGACAGCCGAACAAAAACGGATTCAGAAAGAACTTGCCGATAAGGCGGACAAGGAGATCATGTTTTTGGACCACAACGTTTTGGATACAGTGATTCAGAATGAAGCTTGGCTGGTCTTTTATGGGGCGAATTGGTGTCCATATACTCAACGGTGAGATCTAATCATTATGATTCAGGCATGGAAAGCCGATAAACTGACAACCGTTCAATGTAAACAGGTTCACACCCAAATGGCTCGAAGTGCAAAACCGATTCCTCCAAAAAAAGTACGCAGACCGGGGCATCCACATTGGAAAAGTCGAATGCAGTATACCGGACGTTTACCATGGTGTAGCGGACTTTTGTACCAACCACGGGGTGGACGGGTTTCCTACCGTCAATGTATACATTAACGGGACACTCATTGAGGAATACCCGGAGGCAGATGAGATTGATCCTTTGATGTCATATATTGACCGGTTGGTGGTCAAGTATGAGGAGAAGAAGGCGGCAGAAGCGTTGGTAAAGGCTCAAGCACAGAAAGCGGATGCAAAGACTAGCAAGTTGGACAACGTGGAAATGAACAAGACATTGGCGCAGGCGCCTGTTGAAAACACACTTGTTCAGCACGTTAGTAGCTACATAATTGATGCATACCTCGAACATCTTGCTCTGGATATTGCGCTAACGTCTGCTCTGTAAATAGTCCAAATCCAATCCAGCTCCCTACCTCATCGTTGCGGGTGGCCTGATAGCCAGTATGTGTGGCATCATTCTCTACCGACGACGGCAGGCCGCATTAAAGGGAGCCTACCGTCGTGTCGATTTGTGAGTGAGTTATTGTGAATGTTTCATGGCAGGATTCCTTTGGATATTCATGTTATCGAAACTATTTAGGGATGTTGCGGTTCTTTGGGAAGACTCCAGTAGGACCGATAAGATGGCTTAACGTCACATGTGTTGGCCTATACGATTTCTATGATTGCACTCGTACCTACTTTCTTTTTGGCATTGGGTCCTGTTCTTTAATTTTTTATTCTATATAATAGAAATGGTCTTGACAGTAGCTGCTCCCGGCGTAGGGAAGCTGGACAAAAAATATGGGGTACAAAACACTCCTCGAAAAAGAGGGCAGGAATTGATCCTATTATTGCATAGAATGAGACTATCTATTCTAACTATCTATTCTGTCTATAAGTAACATCAACATAGAGTCCGACCGAATTTTTATGCGCTACCTTTTACAGGGAGCTTACAGATCCAGCTGATAAACTCACGCTCAAAAGATGGCAACCCCGGCAGCGGCGACGACAGCAAACAAGATGGAGCTGACGGCCTTGAGGGGGGAGGCAGCAGAGTAGATGGGAGTAGGCGAGGTCGTTGGTTTGGGGTACGATGGGGTGGCCGTTTCGGTGGGGTCCACAGTCACAGTGATGGTCGAGGTGGTAGAGCAACTGGTATGTTCTGCAGGTTGAGTCGTAGTTGCGATGCTCGAAGTCGTACCACTGGTAGCCGTTGCGGATTGCGTGGTCGTGGCAATGGACGTAGTGGTGGTGGAATTGGAAGCAGGTTGACCAGCCAAGATAATGTCCATAAACTTGGCCAAGCGGTAACCTCCCTTTGCGATCTGCTTCCGAACGATTGGGTAAGTCTTTTGGTAGTATTCTCCCGCCAAGTCATTGGCCGTGCTGGTCCCAGTGCCAGCAAGGAGAGCCTTGTCCCAAACGACGCCACAGTTGAACTCGTTTGAGTCGGTCGCCCAGTCCAATGGACATTGATCGGGGTTCCCGGTGGGGGAAGTGGTTGGGTTGCACTGGAGCCAAGTGTCCTTTTCCTGGGCCCATTCTCCCTTTTCTGATATATATAGATTCAGTTGGCGTACGATAGGGATTGTAACCAGCAGCAAAATGCTCTTACCGATGTTGTCCAGCAGGAACTGTCGGTATGCAACCCAGTTTCCACCAAAGTTTTCATTTACATCCTTTTGGGGAATGTAGACGTCCCAGAGAACGTGTAGCTGAAATTTGCTTGTACGGCCGTTGTAAACGTAGGTCTGGTTCCCTTCCCACTGCGCATGACGGCATCGTTAGTGCGATCCAAAAAAAAAAAAAAAAAGAAAGCCCACACTTTCTGCTGATTGTATACGCACTGTAGTAAAGAACTGGTTTCCACCGAGAAGCTTGCCACAAGCATGAAGCGGTTGGGTAATGTCTCCGACAAAGTGCGACAAGAACTTGACGGCCTCGGAGCGGGCGTCCCAGTTGTATTTGGCAGCATCCGCCGCGCGGAGAGTGTAATTTCCAATGGCATCGACCACGTTAACGCCATTCTCGCCGTCCCGGGCCAAGTCCACTGAGCATTTCACGGGATTGGTCTCATTTGCGTCCAGAGGGGTCACGTCGTGGCTGTCAATAAAGTGAAGGTTGCTAGCCCACTTGACTGATAAATTTAAAATTTTGATCAGTACTATAGTGAACAAATGTCGTAATATGCAACACTAGACTCACAAGTGGGATCTGACTTTATCTCATCGGCCCATGTTGCCGATCTGGTAAAGTTCCAGCCAGAAGGCAACAAAAAGTCACGCACAGCCTTTGTCTCTGGCTTGAGCAGCGAGTCGGCAATAAAGCCCACCGCCTGGTGTCCTAAAGTCAAATAAAAAGTGTTTGAAAATGGATTTGACATTTTCCTACGCATAACATGAACGTACCATCGGCACCCCACGCATAGGCAGATCCAGCCAAGGAAATCACAGTCGAAAGGATGGCAAGCTTTGCGTGCATCTTGAAGTGATCGGATATGCAACGACGAAAACGGGTGGGGAAACCAGTTGCTTTATGCGATTTTATAAATGCATCTGTTCCATACTGCACGTGTGCGCACACACGCCAAGTAAACGGGAAAAAAACAAAAAGATAGCACACTTCCGCTGTTGCAAAAACCTCACTTCAAGCAAATTGTGGAATAATTTGTTTGTATTCGTTGGGTGTCCAAAAAGTAGCACGCGGTCGATGCTTAAGTAATCGACTTTGGGCGTGCAGTTTAACCCCGCTGGTTGGCCTTTTCGTTTTTATTTTTTTCAAGGCGATGATAGATGGGATTTCAACTCATTTTCGGCAAAGGGCTTTTCACGAGTTACTTGATGACTTTTAGCAGAGGTATTGTTGAGGTCAGGAATGGCCATTGGTCCCGGCAGTCGAGTCCAAAGCGGCTGGCAGCATGAGTGGTAACAAAAAAAGAGAGATATCCCAAATTACAATTACCCTGTAATATCCCTATATCCACAAAACTTTTGCACGCTGTTTTATTCAAAGCCACATTACAAGAAATGTTTCATAACACCAGCTATACAGCCCATATCCTTTGGCTACTTATGTCGGTCTACTTTAAACCGCCAACTCACCCCTCTGACCCATCTCGACATTGCCAGCCTTGGGATTATTCCACCACATTGCATCAAATGGTGCACCCGCTACACCGCCCTCTCCTGTTCCCCACCCTGCTTTCCGGGTAGCTGGAAGAACAACCATAGTGTCAGGTGGTTGCGCGATAGAGTACTTGAATCCTGACGCAGTGCGACGAGGAAGTGGGACATGGTTGAATCGATAGTCAAAGAGAGAAGCGTATTGGAAGCGATATGCTCCCGTTGCGATCATGGAGCCGATAATGGCACCACCTATGACATCGTACCCTGTATATTTTATTTGGAATTAGCTAGTGATCTGAAAGAGTTTCAAAAATTGAACGCAGCTTACAGTGGTGGTACTTGTCAATGGTAAGTGACCCGGCAATGAGGGTTGCGGCAAGGATAGGGGCAAAAAACAGAACGAGTTTCCAGTATTGTGGGCGATCTGAAAAAAGAAGTATGTTACAATCTCACGTATTGGAGAAATGAGGCAGATAGTCAAACCTACAATTTGCGAAAACCTTCAACTTTGCATTCAAATACCAAGACAAGAACAAAAACCCAGCAAAAGCCGCCGTAGAATGTCCACTAGGGAAACTCTCTAGCGAGTCATTGATTTCTTTATCATCTCCCGTACACACACTGCGATCAACCATGATTCCATCAAATCCTTGACCGGCGTTGGCTAATGCGGGGTCGATGCGAGGTTTGCAGACAGCGTAAAAGTGTGGACGAAGACCTCCAATGAGCCATTTGAGAAAGACTTGGAAAACTGCCGCAGTGACTATTGAAAGGCCGGGGATATAAGTTAATCAGTAAAACTCGGCAAGGTAAACCGGTGAAAAACACGACAAGAAAACCTCACCTAAACTCATTATCAAACCCATAACAGCAGCATTAAAATCCACAAAACTCCTTACTCGGATTTGAAGTAGGCAGAAGAAAACAAAAGGAACCATGAAACCCAAAAAGGCAGCCAACCAAATAGGAATAATGTTTGTTCGTAGAGGATAAGCAAATTCGGGGTAGATCACTTCTCCATCTCGAAAGTAGATTGGGAACAGGCGGTTGGGTGCTGGGCGGAGGTAATAGATACCTAGACCAAGAGCACCCATGCATGCGAGGGTCAACCAGTCTAGCCAGTACGAATGGATGTATGTTCTGGGTGTGAGTTTTGGGTATGCATTCGGACCGGGTTGGATAGAGTATTGGTTTGGAGCAGGTTGAGCAGGGTGGAGAGAGCCTTCGCCCGGGATGGTTGCTGCACTGGGTTGACGGTTGGCTGCCATCATGATTTACTGTGTCGGTTTCTGCTGGTGCCGGGAAACACAATCAAGCGTCGGATCTGCGAATGAAAATCAAAAGGTAAAATCATCGGAAGGGGCTTTTATAGATCTTCGGAAGGGTTCCTTGAAGGTATTCGATCATCGAAGGGGGTGACGTAACCAACCGATTGCGTCACGGACTCACGCGCGCACACATCGTTTATTGAATAAACAATCACTTTGTGTATTGGCACGGAATATGGAAAACATGACGACGAATATCGCTTTTTTTTTTTCATTCAACAGCTACTTGTACTTGGCATCTGACGTTTTTCTGACTTAGCATATCGGTCCAATGTCAAATGTCAACTTGGATGGGAAGCATATTTGGTCATTTGAGATGTATTTTAAACGGTATTTACATGAAAAAGAGAGCGACATGTGCAAGTCCCCCAATCCATTCTGTCACTCTCTCAAACGCATCCAAAACAGCATATCCTTCTGGAGCAAACATCCATTTGCACACCTGCGCGCGCAGATGGTCTCAAGAGTCTGGCATAGTCAGTCTGGCAAGCGGGGTAATAGGTTAGCGTTTCAAAGCAGAAAGGATAGAACGTTGAGTGTGCAAGTTCAGCAACCCCATTACCTTGTTCCTATGAAAATGCCAGGTAAACTGCAATCTCGGCCATCTGCCTGCTTTTTGATGTGCCATCAAACACAAATCCGATTAGAGTCAGGACCAAGTTCAGAGAAAAACCAGAGATGTTTTTTATTTTCCCCCAACTCTATTTACATGCCACCAATCGTGCCAGTCTGGTTTCCGAGCAACAACATGTATGCTCTTTGTTGCCTTTTCCAGCGACCAACAGAAAACTTCCGCGCACCTCACTTTGTCCTTCCAGCCTCCCGTGCCCACCTCTGTTCATCCCCGTACGATAGAGACGTCTCACTGTGCCTTCTAAAGCTCACAGGGCGCGTCTGTAGGCCAGGGGAGGAAGGCGAACTCTTTGTAGGAAGGAGACCGGCTCCAATCGATGTCAAGGCACCCGTAGCGTGTTGGCCAGACTCTTGGGGTTGATGGGTCAAGTACATGGCCGCGGCGGCTCCAGCGGCGCCAGCTGCGAGGATGAAAGGTGCAGGTCCAGGCATGGTTGTTAAAAGAGTTGCTTGGTTGGTTTCAAACAAATGGTATAGCAGCAGAGAGCTAATGTTCTTTTAAAAAAAAAAAAAAAGAACACCCTACGGGGAGAAGCTATTTCACCCACTCCTTTTATATCCCGCAGAGACTGATAAGAAAACATCCTTTACAAATGGCACCCTTTTTGTTCCGCCCCCCATTTTCTAAAAGGGCTTTTTGTGAAGGGGGGCATGACCTTGTGTGATAAGTGAGTTGATTGGATCTGTGCAAAAGGCGCACTCCAAGTCTAAAAACGCGACTTGTCTGCTGACCCTCTCAAACGGATGCTGTGACGCGCGAGTTAAAAGTGGCATAAAAGCAGAAGGTTTGGGGACCTTTTAGGGGGCTTGCAACGGTCCATTGTTTGCATTGCAAATGCTTTACAAATGCGAGCCCAGAAGCAGGAGGGCATTACAAGATATGCCTACTAGTAAGGCGGATGCGAAAGCCAAGTACCGGTCACTTTAACAAGACCTCGGCGCCCAACTTTCATCTTCTACTGTCCTCCTGCACTGGTAAGCTCGCCAATGTTCCAACATGGCCGGCCACCCTTTGTTCAAACTGGAGATTGTTGCGGACAGAGACAAGATACATATCAAACTACCACACACACATGATGCGACCCTGTCCGTGTTCTACAGAAGAAACCTTTATGGAAAACGTCAAAGGCCCAGCAGCAGAGCAAAGCCAAATGAGTTTGCAAAAAACAGCCGATCGTTTGATGCAAATAGCCAAAGTTGTCCGTCGTGCCAAAGCGTGACGTAACCCGCGTGCAATTCCCCCTTGACGTTGCTTGAAATATAAAATGGCGAGGGCTTCTCTTTCCCCGCCCTTGAACTCACCACCACAAAGTACGGACCCGCCTTCAACAATACCTTCATCCATCACACAGTGCAAACCATGCCCAGTACTCGCTCCAAAACCACAACTGTAGTGGACAATTATCCAACACCACCTGCTCGCTGCAGTGGAGTCTTGTTACATGTCACGTCCCTTCCAACAAAATATGGCATCGGAGATGTCGGACCGTCCGCACTCAACTTTCTGGAATGGCTGCACAAGGCGGGTCAGACTGTGTGGCAGTTTTTGCCGCTGAACCCTCATGGACACGCAGGGAGCCCATATGGAACGCCAAGTGCGATGGCCGCGAATCCGGCCATTATTGCTCTGGATGTGAGTTAGTTTTTGGATGACTTTTAAAGAAATTGCCAAGATTTCCACGGGTCGCTCATGATCCATGTGTGTTGATGTATTTTAGCCTCTCTTGGAAGTCGGACTACTCCAGCCAAACGATATCGAAGAGCTCCAAGGACTACCAGCAGATCACGTCGATTACGATCGCGTCACACCGCTCAAACGCCGAGCACTGCGTCTGGCGAGGGACCGGTTCAGAGAGGGGACCATAGCCAACCCCGTTCTGGCCGAGTGGGAAGAGCGTCTCAACAAGTTTGTGGTCGCACATGGTTCGGCGTGGTTGGACGATTATGCCTTGTTCACAGCCATCCGCGACAAGGAAGGTAAACCATGGGTGGAATGGCCTGTGGATCTCCGGGATCGCAAATCATCAGCACTGCACAAGGCGAGAAAAGATTTGGAAGACGATATTGATGAACACGTTTTCAACCAATTCCTGTTCAACGAGCAGTGGACTCTTGTTCGCCGACGGGCCAAAGAGCTTGGTGTTCGGCTGGTGGGCGATATCCCGATTTTTGTTGCGCACGACAGCGCGGACGTATGGAGCCATCGAAAGATGTTCAAACTGGACAAGGATGGGAAACAGATTGTTCAAGCTGGTGTACCACCAGATTACTTTAGCGCCACAGGTCAGCTTTGGGGAAACCCAGTCTATGACTGGGATGCAATAGCAAAAGATGGTTACAAATGGTGGACGCAGCGCTTCCGTCGTACATTGGAGTTGACCGATGTGATTCGCATTGACCACTTTAGAGGCTTTCAGGCTGCCTGGGAAGTACCTGCTGAGGACAAAACAGCTCAAAACGGCAAATGGGTCGAAGGACCGGGTGCAAAAGTTTTTCGGGCGGTAGATAAAGCTCTTGGAACACACATGCCTGTCATTGCCGAAGATTTAGGCTTGATAACTAAAGAGGTTCATGACCTGCGAGATGAATTGGGATACCCTGGTATGAAGGTGCTCCAGTTTGCATGGGGAGGCGATGGGCAATACGATCCGCGCAATGATCATCTTCCTCACAATTTGAAACATCATCGATGTGTTTATTATACTGGGACCCACGACAATAATACTGTTCGTGGATGGGCAGAAAGCGCCTCCCCTGCGGAGCGTAGAGCTGTTCGTCAATATCTTGGCCGGGCACCCCCCGGCGTAAGCAACGGAGGAGAGACTGGGGCAAAACGTAAAAGACTCGACGATGAAGATCAAAAAGAGGTTAAAAGCGATGTCAGCAGTCAAGAAACCGCATTAGAAATCATAGACAGCTCCTCCTACGACTTTATCCGCCTCGCATTATCATCTATTGCGGATATGGCGATATTTCAGCTCCAAGATGCACTGGATCTCGGTGGTGACTGTAGAATGAATTTGCCTGCAACTGCTGAAGGAAATTGGAAATGGAGAGCGGGCAATGATCAGTTGACTGAGGAGATTGCACAACGGCTGCGGGAGTTGACGCAATTGTACGGAAGGGTTTAAGGAGAACTTGTAGATAGTCGGATTGAAACTCGAGTATTATAGATTTTTCTGTAGATAAAGGCAGTCAACCTCCCCTCATCCTCGTACATCAAAGTCTTTCCGCATTTTTCACTTTGTATTCTGATGGCTTTCTCGATTTCTCGAACTTGAGACTCGCACATAGGCTGGCGCAGGTGACGTCGACAGTACTCGTACAGGTGACAGTGTTCCATGGGCTTGCCTCACTAGTGATGCTCCTCAAAAGATTCCAGTTATGGACGTGGCTCACATCCCTCCTCGCAGCCGCAACGCGCACAGTTTTCTTAAAAGTTCCCCCTTGCCAAGCAAAACAATGAAAACACATTCCATCTATATAGAGCGCAACGAGTTGCCGACGTGTACTTTTCATTCACCTGAGCAAAGCTTATGTCGCCGTGAACAGTCGGAATGTTTGTTCACGCACATCAAGTGTTTTTGCCGGGTCGGTGCAGGGTATGATTGGCACAGTCTTTGGTGGCTAAACGTTAGAATCTATCTCCGCGCATATGGTATCAGGTACAATAGCCCCTCCATCATGTTGATAGTTGATCTGGCTCGAAAAGGAAGAATGGCAAGTATCAAGGATTAACTCTTTATCTTCGCTTACACTTGCTAATATAGTTTAGTTATATCTGGTGCTGTCTGAGTATGTCCGGGTGAGTTGTTTATCTGAGCTCGCTCATTACAAATTACAACCAGGTACATCTCCATATTTTTCCTCGATTAAGCGCATTAGCGCATGTCCATTGTACATGGTGGCATTACTGGTTCCGTCCACGTTTGTACGCTCCTGTCCAACCCCAGCCTGGTGCGTGCCATGATCTGGGCAAGACCCTCTGGGATACCTTTAGATCCTTGACACTCGTCCTTCCTATGAGTTTGCCCCACCCCTATGACGAACTTTGGGGTTTTTGAGACATTGTTCAAACGTCCAAAACGCGTCAACAGGAACATAGCAGGGACAGAACTCTACAAACAACCCTTCCATCAACCCTTTGCTTTCCACTGCATTTGCGTATATTGCTAGATGGCTGCACGGCGTATCATACATGAACTCTTGATACAAAATAACAATGGCAAGAACCAGGTCATAAACATCGGCAATGGCCGTCACCCGCTCTCCGCCGCCACCACCTCAAAAGCCATTTGTCATCCAACCAAAGAAAACATGGCATCCTTCTTACCGACATCCGAGAAGGAATATCCCGTTGGAGACATAAACAAATCAACCGACTTCAAGACAATGCTCACCAGCCTCATTGCCATAGTGGCGTATGGCTTGAAACGCGGTAATCATTTCGGCCGAATTCCATTTGCTCAGTTGGAACACTAGTAGGATTGATCGGTGAGATTAATAAGCAACAAGTATAAAAGGAGGGATTGCTTTCCATTGTTCCCCCCGCCATAGAAAACTCGAAACTCTGCAATCATGTCAAAGACCAACACCCAAGTCCTTTTCAAGCAGGATCCCGGGGCGGGATGGGTCGAGCCTTCTCACATGGAGGTCACAAAGACTGCTTTCGACCCTGATACAGTCGAATTGAAGGAGGGCGACGTATTGGTAAAGGTTCTTTACCTGTCATTGGATCCGTACATGGTATGCAGCCTTTATTTGCTTTGGTTCATCACCGAAATGAGCCAATAACACGCCCATTTATGTTTTAGCGTGGAAGAATGAACACCTCCAAAGCGCGATACGTCAACGCTTTTGAAGTCGGAAAGCCCATGCAGGGCGGGGGTGTCAGTCAAGTCTACCGCGTCGGTGGCAAGAGTGAATATGCAAAGGGTGATATCGTCGTTGGCTTTGTCGGGTGGGAGGAGTGGTCAGTCATTCCCGGAGGCCAGGGGTTGAAAAAGTTGGATGCTTCTTTGCCAGTTCCTTTGAGTTACTACCTTGGAATTTTGGGTATGTTGCATTGGTCTCCCAATTACGGTGTTTCTATATAGCAAATATTGACTTTTGATCACTACCTTGATAGGCATGCCCGGCCAGACCGCTTACTGTGGTCTCATCAAACTTGGGGAGCCCAAGCCAGGCGAAACCGTCTACGTCAGTGGTGCCGCGGGAGCCGTCGGTCTCGTGGTTGGCCAAATTGCAAAGGCAAAGGGTTGCTACGTTGTCGGTTCAGCCGGTTCCGATGAAAAGGTCAAGGTCCTCCTCGAAGAAGCTGGTTACGACGCGGCATTTAACTACAAAACTGTTGAATCCTTTGACAAGGCGCTCAAAGAGTACTGCCCCAAAGGCATTGATGTGTATTTCGACAATGTATGTTTTCAAATTTCTACCAAATTATCATGTTTATCGTTCGCCAATTCACCAATGTGTTTTGTTGGTGTCAGGTGGGAGGCGAAATGCTCGACGCAGCACTGACACACATGAACGTACACGGTCGTATTCCCGTCTGCGGTGGTATTTCGCAATACAATGTCGAGACACCATACGGTGTCAAGAACTTGCTTGAAATCATTGGAAAACGTATCAAGATACAAGGATTCTTGGTTGGAGATTTCTGGGCGGACAAGGAGTTGATGGCGAACTTTGGAAAAGACATGTTCAATTGGGTCAAGGAGGGCAAGATTGTATACAAGGAGCAAATTGACGAGGGATTGGAGAGTGCTCCAGAGGCATTTGTAGGGATGTTGAAGGGGCGTAACACTGGCAAGCAAATTGTCAAGGTTGCAGACAGGGATTAGATGTGTTATATCCCAGAAAATAAACGACTGTAAAGATCATCTGTTACCTTGCATTCAAAATATAAGGCTACTACGTCTATTGCTCTTGCTTTTCTATCGTGGAATCTCGACGGCGGGACTTTGAGAGTGGGGACGCTGCTTGTGGGTACACCCGTCGTAGATCCGCTAAAACCTTGCTCTTGTCGGGGGTGTTTGGAAGGGATGGCAAGGATTGAAAGACGTGGCGTCTGGGTTGATCCTTAATTATCTTCGCATGCTCATTTAGTATATTCTAGGATAGATTTGTTTAGTTTCCGAAAGAGAAAAGAGCAGAACACCCTCGCCTTACCCGTAACGCGCCAAAACCCATCAAACAGCGGCCGACATTTGCACTATTTTCAAATGAGTTGGCAATTGGAACCTTGCCCAACTGAACGAAAAAGCACAACTCGTCCACTATTTGCACTTTATATATGTGAAAGCAAAGCCCATCTATACAAAGGGGATGGATGTTAGACATATAAATTAGAGTAACGTGCACCGTATTACCTGGCGATATGGCCGTATACATTCGAGGCTGAATCTCACCCCAATCAAATTGTAACGTATCCGCTTTAAGCTGCCGTAAGGCCCGCTGTAATCCATCTCCTAATTCCAGCTTTCGCTTTGTTGATGATGCGAAAGGGCCTTTTAATTCAGCTACTAGTATGATTCGCCCATGAGCTGATATGGTGATGTCTGGTCTTTTTCTATCAGCCATCGTAGAGTCTCTAAAATACTGGTTCAGTAAGAGGTACACATCAAGCGAGATCCGCATGCTTACATAGCTATGTCCCATCTTTTGTTCCTTACTAAACGGTTAAAATGCGGAAGACAGTATTTGGCTGTATACGACGCTTCTGACTGGCGCTGCGGCAATTTAACATGTAAATGACGATACCTGCGCGGAAGTTCAAAGACAGTAAGGCGCCTGTGCTTAGTAAACCAGATGAGGAGCAACTTACAGTGATCTAAGCGCATCTCGCTCATCAGATGTAAGGTCACCCAAGTCTACTTCTTGCTCATAATCTTCAGTAATTTCATCCTCCAACATCGCAACTTCCAAACTATTCACAGCTTGTACCAAAGTCGCGCGGGGCGGAGTCACAAGAGGTGTCCACATTTCACAGTCAGATGCGAAATAACGGTAGATATTCGACCATTCGGCGATGCTAACATAGGGCTGATAGCACGAAGGCATGCATCTGTCTACTAATAGACCGCGCTTTAAAGAGCTTTGACATGTCTTAGTTATAATTGTAGGAATCAGACTAAGATTGACTTACACAATAGATACAGGGTCACTCTCCTCGAAACATCGATCATTCTCGACTTTTTGTTGATCCATATAGATGTCCCGTATGACCAAACGCACTAAACGACTGCAATTGACACCTGCTACTTGCAGATCTGTAGCTAATTGCGTGTCGCGTCCGGATAGTATATCCACCAGACCGGGTATTTCCTCCATTGGTAATCTTGTAGGAAGGCTTTCGAGAGTAGCGTGATCCTCATCATAATGGTTAATTTCATGTCTGATTATCCTGTTATATGGATGGTACCGAGCATTTTGGGTGCGGTACGATGTCGTTCCAATTGCCAAGGTTTCTTGAATAGTCCCATCTTCAAAGCGTGTGCTAACGACTTCCAAACCGCGTGTAAGGCTCTGCTGTTGAATATTCGCCAAAATCTCTTCTTGTTCAAATATAATATTGAGTTCCTTGGACTCCGTAGCCAAAACCTTCCACGCATCATAGCATATTAGACAAAATGATAGTCAAAATGAAATAAGAAAACAAGCTCTACGCTTTGACCGGTCCGGGGCGCACCACATGCCCCAGGAGAGCGCACTGTCCTGGGGTTGAACACGGTCTAAACTTGGGGTCGGCGCACCGACTGATATCACTACCTTCAGGCCGCAGTGTGAAGGAGTGCCCTATGAGCTTGCTTCTACATAGATATTACCTTCTCGAGAACAGGGCGATCTTCTTCCTGTACCAATCGTCTGAAAATCCCTATCCATCGGCCCTTTCTCGTTCGCCAAGGAGTTGCCGGTTTATCCCATTCTCCATAAATTAGCGGTCTATACTTTTTCACAAATTGCACTAATGAGAACGAGTCCTTCAAGTGTTGCTGGACAGCTTCGTCCCACGGGCAATCCTGGTTCATCGTAATGGGCTGCAAGGAAAGCGGACGGGTTCCGACATCGACGTGTTTTACAGGCAGTAAGCACATCAGTATACATACCGAATTCGGCAGTCCGAAAATCTGGACGCGTTACTCCCACTGGACAATACAACAACAGTATTATAGATAATTAACAAATAGAAACAAACGCATCCGGCCCAATCTATGTTATTCTCGCTCCTCTTGCATGGTACCAGTAACCTTGCCTTCAGTAGGTGCAACAATCGTCGCGGCCGAATCTGCTCGTTGCTGCCCAGGTAAATCAGCATTATCTACAATAGTGACATGTAAAGGAATAAAATAGTCAGAGACCATTCAAGGCAAAACCATAAATTGACCCATATTACCACTGGCTGGAGGATCAATAGCTTGACCACTTCCATTCTGACCACTCGAACCTACGAGAATACAGAAAGAACCGTTATAAAACAATGTAATGTGAACCATTCACACAGTACTTACCATCCACAACCTCATTTCCTCGCTCCCCATCCCAGCCATTCACCTGTTGTTCCCGTCTCATTGATTCGGGATCAATATCCCATCCTTCATAGTCATCCCCAACAAGCCCAACCCCAAAAGCAGCTAAAACCTCATCAACAGCGCCAATGACATCATCCACAATCTCACTCTCCAGTTCTAATGCAGTCCCATTTATATACTTTGATAAACTCTCTTCTAGGATTCTTCCCACGCGGTCTACAATCGGCGCACGGTCGACAGCTGGGTAATTTCTTTGCAAAAAGGGTGCCAAGACGCTTAGAACGGTCAATTTGATGACGTAAAGGGAG